ACAAACCTTAAAAAGGCAGAAGAAATGCAGCAAATTACAGGGCTCAAAGTTGCTCGTGCAAGCCCAACGGTCTCTCACCTACTCTTTGCGGATGACAATTTATTCTTTTATAAAGCAAATGGTGAAGAGAGCCGGGTTTTATTACAAATTTTGAAGGAGTATGAGATGGCATCTGGACAACAAATTAATTTTGTAAAATCATCGATACAATTCGGACATACAGTGGATGCAGGGGTCAGGGCTGACATACACCAGATCCTGGGGATTGAGAATATTGGAGGGATGGGGACCTATCTTGGCATACCAGAGAGTTTGGGGGGGGGAGCAAAGACAAAGATATTTAGTTTTTTTGATAGACAGACAACAAAAGAGAATAAATGAATGGAACTCAAAGTGGCTGTCAAAAGGGGGAAAAGAGGTTCTTATAAAGTCTGTAGTCTCAGCAATGCCTATGCATGTGATGTCTGCTTTCGTTTGCCTAAAGGAGTTACAAATAAACTTTCCAGTGCAGTATCAAATTTCTGGTGGAGCAATAATGGACAAACACGAGGGATGCATTGGTTGGCTTGGAAGAAGCTCTGCTGACACAAGAGTGATGGTGGTCTGGGTTTCCGGGTTCTTGAGGAATTTAATATGGCGTTATTGGCAAAACAACTATGGCGATTTCTGGATAATCCAAAATCATTATTCTCACAGGTCTTTAAAGGACGCTATTATCGGAATGCTACTCCTACGGATGGCAGAGTATAGTGTCGGCTCGACCTCTGGTTAACAAAGGGCTTATTAAAAGAGTTGGCTCAGTGATATCTATCTCAGTATGGGATGATCCTTGGATTCCAGCTTCTCCCCTGAACCCAGCCAATGGAAACGGGATTAATTTCTACCCACATCTCCGGGTCCGGGATTTAATGACTCTCAGAAAATCTACGTGGAATCTTCCACTATTAAATCAACTTTTTGATACATTGGACGTATCCCTTATTATGGCGATTCCGACCTCACATATGGATAGGCCGGACTCTATGGGATGGTTTTTCACAAAGACGGGGCTGTACACGGTTAAATCGGGGTATATGTTCGCCCAAGACAATCCCATGATGATGGTATGATATCTTTTGGTCCAGACGTACGTTGTCTTTAGGTACAAGCATGGAAAATACCTTGTACCCAAAAACTTCAACATTTTATGTTGCACATTTTAATGGGGTGTATATCAGTGGGTGCATGATTACGAAGTCGGGGTATGCAGATAGACCCACAATGTATGAGATGTGGAATGTCTGCGGAAACGATTAATCATATGGTGTTTGAATGTCCCCCATCATTACAGGTTTGGGCCTTATCCCCGATTCCCACGGCTATCACCAGTTTCCCAACAGAAGGTTTGTTTACGAATATGGCACATATTCTGGCACTTACTGGATGATGATAGGATGGGGATGTATCCTTGGTTGATTTGGTTTATTTGGAAAGTTCGCAACGACAAGGTATTTTCTAATGGGGATTGGGACCCACATGAGATTATCAATCACGCGGCAGCGGAGGCTTCGGCTTGGGCACTGGCTCAGAAACGACAAGACTCAATGGGTCCGAATTTAACGGCCACAGTGGATAAAATTTCCTCGGGTGACAGATGTGAGGTGGATGGATCTTGGAAAGAAACGGACCCTCGGGCAGGATTAGGATGGTATAATTTTAATATGGAGACAAGCGAGAAGCTATTGGGCACATGTAATCTGTGGCGGGGAGTATCTCCTCTTCAAACAGAAGTGGACGCTCTCTTATGGGCAATGCAATGTATGATGCGGCATAACAAGTTGGCAATGGTGTTTGAGATGGATTTCTCCGACGTGGTAAAGATGGTATCTAAACCAGAGAAGTGGCCAGCATTTGCAATCCTACTAGAAGAAATTTGACAGATGTAAAAGGCGGTTACATCTTCTCCATTGTGCATATATCAAGGACCAACAACACGAAGACAGACAAGTTAACACGGAGTGCTCGAGCTTTACCTACTAGTGTGTATTATGTAAACTATGTTTCCCAACTTGGATTTCTAAGTTGTAGAAGAGAGGCTGTTGACAAAAAATATATATATATATATACATATATATATATATAGATATATGATGTATTTAATAAAAAGAGTAGTTTAGTCCATGTTGAAAATGAAATGGTTACTCACTATATTTTTCATGGGGCAATATTCTTAGTTTTATATCCGATTTTAATTATAGGAACAATACTTCCATTATTTTATCAAAAATTTAATGTTAGAATTTAAAAAATAAGAAAAATAGTAATTTATATTTTAGGTAACAAACTGATTTTTTTTTTATTCAAAGTCAATATAACTAACATAAATAATGAACATACCAAAAATGAAATTGACTAACTAATATTAATTAATATTATCAGTTAGTCAAATTCAAATTTCGGCGAGTTCTTTACTTCTGTTAGTCAGTCAATTTCAAAATCTGACATGTAATTTATCTCTGTTCGTTAGTCTAATTTATTTTTTTTGCGTTATTTATTTCTACATATATCTTTTTAGATTATATACCTTATTATCTCTCTGCGCAGCCCTCTTTAAATAGATGAAGAGTGCAATACCTTTTCATCACACACATACGGAAAAAAAAATAAGATACTCGAAAAGAGAGAGATCAAAATAAGAAATTGATCTTGGGAAAAAAAAGATGAGCCAATTTTTGGCGAATATAAAACTAAGGGCAATAATGTTGAAGAAAAAGATGTTGAATCTCGAGAAACTTGGACCATGAGAACATCATGTCCTTGCGACATCAACAAGTTGTTCTCATGGCCAAAGTTGCTCGCTCGAGATTCAACCTCTTTCTCTTCAACATTATTGCCCTTAGTTTTATATTCACTAAAAAATGGTTTATCTTTTTTCTTTCCAAGATCAGTCTCTTTGATTTCTCTCTTTTCGAGTTTTTTTCCTTTAATTTTTTTATGTGTGTGATGAAAAGGTATTGCACCTCTCATCTATTTAAAGAGGGCTGTGCAGAGAGATAACAAGGTATATAATTGAAAAAGATACTAGACTAATGTTCGCGCATACACGCAGGTTTTTCTGTTGTTACAGTTTTTCAAAATTTATTGGAAAAAAATTGTGATTAATATTATAAACTTTTACACGCATATGATGTCTACACCTGAAGAGTGACCTGCTTTTTCATTCCTGCTGGAGGAAGTCACAAAGTGCAGGAACCTGTTCACGTTATTTTCCATTGCTCACATTCTAAGGTCGAAAAACAAGAAGGCAGACAAGCTAGCACGGAGTGCTCGAGATGACCTTTTACTATGTAAACTCTTCATTACCGGTTTGGATTTCCGAACCGTTTTAGGTGAAGAGGCTGCTGTCAAAAAAAAAAAAAAAACTCTTACCCAAATAAAATGGGCCTTTTGATTCCACCTTGTATGATTAGTGAATGCTTTCAAATGTTTATTTTTGCATTATACCACATGTCTCCATGTCATCAGTTCTGTTTGTTCATTTCCGTTAAAAAAGTATTGGGAAACAATTGTGATTAATGTTATGAACTTTTACCCAAATAACACGGGTATTTTGATTCCATCTTGTATGATTAGTGACTGTTTTGAAATGTCTATTTTTACATTATATCACATGTCTCTATGGAACGAACTATGTTTCCTCGCTATCGCTCTTTGTTGGATCTGTTTCTCTGTACATTAATAGAACTAGAGCTTGGCCCGCGCGATGCGCGGGTTGTATGTATTACAAAAACTATATGTTATTTATATCATAATTATTATATTTACTCTGTGTTTATATATTTATCCTTTTTAAACACTATGCGTATAATCTAATATCATTTAAAGAACACAGTAATGAAATCCAAATCAAATTTGATTTTGTTTTTAAAGATAGAAAAACTGATGAATATTTAAGGCTATTTTTTTGAACCATATGCATATAAGAAACTAACGTTTCCAATCAACTTTTACAACATCAACATCCATCAGATAATCAAAATGAAATGTCTCCTTTGTATTTCCAAATTTGGTCACGCTTGTTGTTTCAATATGTAACATCCGTAAACCAAAGAATTGGTGGTGTCGGTCGACACCAATGGTTAAAATCAATTTCTGGTTCAATTTAAGTTCGGTTTAGGCCGGTTTGGGCCCAGGAAGCCCTAGAACTCGAAATAAAAAGCTGCAGCCGCTTCCTCTTCCTCTCTTTTGTCGTTTTGCGGACTGGAGAAGGAGAAGAGAGGCGATTTCGAGCTGAAATCCGGAGTTCTTCGTCGATCTGAGGCTCCTTGTTGCTGTTCTTCCTTGTTTCATCCCTCCTTTCTCGTTTTCAACCGATTTGAGGTGAGTGCATGACTGTAGGTCCGCAATTGCTAGATTTGGTTTGATTGATTAATTGTTCTTGAGTTGTTCATGTTGATTATGTGATATATATTCATTTGGTGTTTTATGTGATTTTCGTGTATTGGGTGTCTGGTATGTTCGTGTGGATTTGGTGTTTTATGTGATTTTCGTGCAGTTTTATTGATGTTGGCATGGGCTGTCGAGCCGGTGTGCGAAGCTGGTGTCGGTCGACACAAGCCGGTTTGGTCTGGTTTAAATTGATTTAATTAATTGATTAATTGGTTAATTGGTTATTTGATTTAATTCGTATTTAATTAATTAATTATTTAATTAATTAAATTTAAAATAATTAATTATTTTAAAATATGGAAAATTATTATTTAATTATGAGAATTATTTAATAATTGAGAAATGAGTTTTAATTATTAAAATTATTTAATAATTGGAAAATGGTATTTAATAATTATTGGAGTTTATAAATATTATTAAATATCTAGTAAATTGCGTAAATGGCTCGTAGGCAGAGTGATTGCCTCACTAAGTATTTATTAAATACTTACGCAACTCCATTCCAATGTGTTGCAGGTAAAAGATTTGTGTGATCGCGGAATCAAGGCTGAAGAGGGGGATGATAGGATGTTTATGTTTTATTGTTTTGCATTATTTTGCTAGACTTGTTTGTTTAGTATTTCTTTAATTATTTATTTGAATTTATTTGTTATTGATATTATTATTTATTTATTTATTTTAAAGACCTTCGCTAGAATTGATTTAATTTATTATTAAAAAAAAAAAAATGTTGGTTGTTTCATTTTGGTATCAGAGCCTAGACGGTTTTAGGACTGTTAGAATTGCTAGGCTTTAGTATCATCCCCTTCAGCTACAAGAGATTCCGCGGTGAGTTTATGTTTGTTTTGAGTTTTGGTTGTGTTCTAGTGTGCTCTTTTCGGTTCCATGAGTGAGATGGACGAGTAGCTAGAGGTTGTGGCGCGAGAGGGCGCGGTGCTCGAGGCCGTGGTGGCAGAGCTAGAGGCCGTGGAGGCCGGGGCCAAGGATTGTGGACTTCGGCGGATTCGGGAGAGAGTGTGCGCCTAGTGTGGCGACTGCGTCGGTGACCCAGTCGGTATCCATGGCGAGTGAGGCCAGTGTGGATGCGAGTGTTGGTTTGGGAGCGGGGCTGCTCCGGGTTGGGGTGGTGCTCCGGCTCAGGGTCTTGATGACTTAGTGGTGGGTTTGCTGACGCAGTTATTGGCTCGTTTTCCGCCAGTGGTTCCACAGGGGCTCCGGGAGTACCTCCAGTGGCAGAGGTGCAGCAGAGGGCTGCGGGTTGTTCAGCCGCAGGCTGCGGGTTTGTGGTGCCGCCTATTGGATATGATGGGGCACATGCAGAGGATTGGTACGCCGTACTTTGAGGGCGGAGTTAGCCAGAGGCGGCGAGTGTGTAGAGATTGGAGCGGAATTTCCAGTCTATCAGTTGTCTGTTTAGTATCAGGTGGAGTTAGCTGTCCACTATCTGAGTGGTGACGCGCATTTTTGGTGGTTGTACCTTGTTCTTTTTGTCTGTGATAGAATTGTGAGGTTCTCAACGCATGTGTTGTAATGACCTTGTTAGTGGGCGGTTTTGAGTCCCACGTTTTATTCGACTCTGGAGCATCGAATTGCTTCATTACACCGGAGCGTGCCGAGAAGAGTGGCATCCGGAGTAGCGCGGGCGAGAGCGCGGGCATGGTCAAGGTGGCGGGAGGTGGATTCTTGTCTACTTTGGGCCGTGCTAGAGGAGTCGAGATCGAGATTGCGGGGCAGTCAATGCCAGCAGACTTAGTCATCAGTCCGGTGGAGCTGTATGACGTTATTCTCGGGATGGACTGGTTGTCACACTACAGAGTTCATCTGGATTGCTACAGAGGTAGAGTGGTCTTCGAGCGAGATGCAGGGAGGTTGGTTTATCAGGGAGTGAGACCGACTTCCGGGAGTATTGTGATATCTGCTATTCAGGCCGAGCAGTTGTTAGAGCGGGGCTGTGAGGCGTATCTGGCGACGATTTCTATGTCTGAGTCAGGAGCTGGAGTTGTTATGGGAGATATTGAGGTTGTCCAGGATTTTGAGGATGTCTTTCAGTCACTGAAGGGATTACCACCATCTCGGTCTGATCCTTTCACGATTGAGTTAGAGCCGGGGACAGCACCGATATCGAAGACGCCTTACAGGATGGCGCCAGCTGAGTTGGCAGAGCTGAAGAAGCAGATAGAGGACCTTTTGTCTAAGGGGTTCATTCGACCGAGTGTTTCACCGTGGGGAGCACCGGTGTTGTTTGTGAAGAAGAAGGATGGAGTTTCAGACTTTGTATCGATTACAGAGGTCTTAACCGAGTCACTGTGAAGAACAGGTACCCACTCCCGAGGATTGATGAGTTGTTGGATCAGTTGAGGGGTGCTACTTGGTTCTCCAAGATTGACTTGGCATCGGGTTATCATCAGATCCCGATAGATGAGGCAGATGTCAGGAAGACTGCTTTCAGGACGCGTTATGGGCATTTTGAGTTTGTGGTTATGCCTTTCGGTTTGACTAACGCGCCGGCAGCCTTCATGAGATTGATGAACGACGTGTTCAGGGAGTATTTGGACGTGTTTGTCATCATTTTCATTGATGATATTCTGGTATACTCGAGGAGTCAGGAGGAGCATGCGACTCACTTGAGGTTGGTTCTGGAGAAGCTTCGGGAGCAGAAGCTTTTTGCTAAGTTGAGCAAGTGCAGTTTCTGGCAGCGAGAGATGGGATTTCTTGGCCACATTGTTTCTGCAGAGGGAGTTTCTGTGGATCCGGCTAAGATTGAGGCTATCAGAGATTGGCCTAGACCTAGTAGTGCCACCGAGATCAGGAGTTTTCTGGGTTTGGCAGGATACTACAGGAGGTTCGTCAAGGGGTTTGCTACCATGGCGCAGCCGATGACGAAGTTGACCGGGAAGGATGTCCCGTTTGTTTGGTCAGCTGAGTGTGAGGAGAGCTTTAGTCAGCTCAAGGAGATGTTGACTACTACACCAGTGTTGGCGTTACCCGAGCCAGGGAAGCCTTACATGGTGTATACAGATGCTTCAGGCATTGGTCTTGGTTGTGTGCTGATGCAGGAGGGCAGAGTGATAGCATATGCTTCGAGCAGTGGCAGGGATTTCTCCGACGTGGCATAACAAGTTGGCAATGGTGTTTGAGATGGATTTCTCCGACGTGGTAAAGATGGTATCTAAACCAGAGAAGTGGCAATCATTTGCAATCCTACTAGAAGAAATTTGACAGATGTAAAAGGCGGTTCACATCTTTCTCCATTGCGCATATATCAAGGACCAACAACACGAAGATAGACAAGTTAACACGGAGTGCTCGAGCTCTACCTACTAGTGTGTATTATGTAAACTTTGTTTCCCCAACTTGGATTTCTAAGTTGTAGAAAGAGAAGCTGTTGACAAAAAAAAATATATATATATATATATATATATAGATATATGATGTATTTAATAAAAAGAGTAGTTTAGTCCATGTTGAAAATGAAATGGTTACTCACTATATTTTTCATGGGGCAATATTCTTAGTTTTATATCCGATTTTAATTATAGGAACAATACTTCCATTATTTTATCAAAAATTTAATGTTAGAATTTAAAAAATAAGAAAAATAGTAATTTATATTTTAGGTAACAAACTGATTTTTTTTTTATTCAAAGTCAATATAACTAACATAAATAATGAACATACCAAAAATGAAATTGACTAACTAATACTAATTAATATTATCAGTTAGTCAAATTCAAATTTCGGCGAGTTCTTTACTTCTGTTAGTCAGTCAATTTTAAAATCTGACACGTAATTTATCTCTGTTTGTTAGTCAAATTTAATTTTTTTTGCGTTATTTATTTCTACATATATCTTTTTAGATTATATACCTTATTATCTCTCTGCTCAGCTCTCTTTAAATAGATGAAGAGTGCAATACCTTTTCATCACACACATACGGAAAAAAAATAAGATACTCGAAAAGAGAGATCAAAATAAGAAATTGATCTTGGGAAAAAAAAGATGAGCCAATTTTTTGGCGAATATAAAACTAAGGGCAATAATATTGAAGAAAAAGATGTTGAATCTCGAGAAACTTGGACCATGAGAACATCATGTCCTTGCGACATCAGCAAGTTGTTCTCATGGCCAAAGTTGCTCGCTCGAGATTCAACCTCTTTCTCTTCAACATTATTGCCCTTAGTTTTATATTCACTAAAAAATGGTTTATCTTTTTTCTTCCCAAGATCAGTCTCTTTGATTTCTCTCTTTTCGAGTTTTTTATCTTTTATTTTTTTATGTGTGTGATGAAAAGGTATTGCACCTCTCATCTATTTAAAGAGGGCTGTGCAGAGAGATAACAAGGTATATAATTGAAAAAGATACTAGACTAATGTTCGCGCATACACGCAGGTTTTTCTGTTGTTACAGTTTTTCAAAAATTATTGGAAAAAAATTGTGATTAATATTATAAACTTTTACACGCATATGATGTCTACACCTGAAGAGTGACCTGCTTTTTCATTCCTGCTGGAGGAAGTCACAAAGTGCAGGAACCTATTCATGTTATTTTCCATTGCTCACATTCTAAGGTCGAAAAACAAGAAGGCAGACAAGCTAGCACAGAGTGCTCGAGATGGCCTTTTACTATGTAAACTCTTCATTACCGGTTTGGATTTCCAAACCGTTTTAGGTGAAGAGGCTGCTGTCAAAAAAAAAAAAAAACTCTTACCCAAATAAAATGGGCCTTTTGCTTCCACCTTGTATGATTAGTGAGTGCTTTCAAATGTTTATTTTTGCATTATACCACATGTCTCCATTTCATCAGTTCTGTTTGTTCATTTCCGTTAAAAAAGTATTGGGAAACAATTGTGATTAATGTTATGAACTTTTACCCAAATAACACGAGCATTTTGATTCCATCTTGTATGATTAGTGACTGTTTTGAAATGTCTATTTTTACATTATATCACATGTCTCTATGGAACGAACTATGTTTCCTCGCTATCGCTCTTTGTTGGATCTGTTTCTCTGTACATTAATAGAACTAGAGCTTGGCCCGCGCGATGCGCGGGTTGTATGTATTACAAAAACTATATGTTATTTATATCATAATTATTATATTTACTCTGTGTTTATATATTTATCCTTTTTAAACACTATGCGTATAATCTAATATCATTTAAAGAACACAGTAATGAAATCCAAATCAAATTTGTTTTTTTTTTAAAGATAGAAAAACTGATGAATTATTAAGGCTATTTTTTTGAACAATATGCATATAAGAAACTAACGATTCCAATCAACTTTTACAACATCCACATCCATCAGATAATCAAAATGAAATGTCTCCTTTGTATTTCCAAATTTGGTCACGCTTGTTGTTTCATTATGTAACATCCGTAAACCAAAGAATTGAGATTTTTCTTTGGTGTCGGGTGGTGTCGGTCGACACCAATGGTTAAAATCAATTTCTGGTTCAATTTAAGTTCGGTTTAGGCCGGTTTGGGCCCAAGAAGCCCTAGAACTCGAAATAAAAAGCTGCAGCCGCTTCCTCTTCTCTCTTTTGTCGTTTTGCGGACTGGAGAAGGAGAAGAGAGGCGATTTCGAGCTGAAATCCGGAGTTCTTCGTCGATCTGAGGCTCCTTGTTGCTGTTCTTCCTTGTTTCATCCTCCTTTCTCGTTTTCAATCCGATTTGAGGTGAGTGCATGACTGTAGGTCCGCAATTGCTAGATTTGGTTTGATTGATTAATTGTTCTTGAGTTGTTCATGTTGATTATGTGATATCTAGTGTTGTTTGGGTGTAATTCGTGTGGATTTGGTGTTTTATGTGATTTTCGTGCAGTTTTATTGATGTTGGCATCGGGCTGTCGAGCGGTGTCGACGACACCAATGGGTGAGATCAACACCAAGCTGGTGTCGGTCGACACAAGCCGGTTCGGTCCGGTTTAAATTGATTTAACTTAATTGGTTAATCTGGTTATCTGGTTATTTGGTTAATTCGTATTTAATTAATTAATGAGTATTTTAATTAATTAAATGGCTTAAAATAATTATATTAATTATTTTAAAATATGGAAAATTATTATTTAATTATGAGGATTATTTAATAATTGAGAAATGAAGTTTTAATTATTAATAATTATTTAATAATTGGAAAATGGTATTTAATAATTATTGGAGTTTATAAATATTATTAAATATCTAGTAAATTGCGTAAATGGCCTGTAGGCAGAGTGATTGCCTCACTAAGTATTTATTAAATACTTACGCAACTCCATTCCAATGTGTTGCAGGTAAAAGATTTGTGTGATCGCGGAATCAAGGCTGAAAGGGGGATGATAGGATGTTTAATGTTTTATTGTTTTGCTTTATTTGACTTGCTAGTACCTGGTGTTTAGGTTGCTAGTATTTCCTTTAATTATTTATTTGAATTTATTTGTTGAACCTGATTTATTATTTATTTATTTATTTAAAGACTTCCGCTGAATTGTTATTTAATTTAATTATTAAAAAAAAAATGTTGGTTGTTTCACATTACACATCGTTATAAATGTTATAAATATAAGAATGTATAGTTCTCTTATATCATATATGAATGATATTGTAGATGTAAAATAAAAATATTGTTTGTTTCATATCAAGACTCTTACATAACCGAAATACCCGAATATAAACTATATTCTGGTATTCTAAAGCTATACCAGAACCCAAAAGGATCCAAACCTTTACCACACCAAAATTCATAAGATTACCTATAGGAGTACAAAGAATAGAGATTACCAACCTAAAAGACCCGAACCCGAATATAACCTTCCCAAATCCGAGTGAATAACCTTAAGTTAGAGATCTAACATTTATTAAATCATGAAAACACAATAATATCTTATATATAATTAGGGAGTTGCTCTCTCCATTTGAGAGTGTCCACATCAGCACAAAAACATTAAATTATATTTAAAATATTTAATAAATATATGACTATTCATATTTCTTTACATTTATTCATATTTAATAAAAATATACAAATAAATTGATTAATTAATAGAAAGTATGTGATAATTTGATGTTCAAAGTTATCAAAAAGTTGGAATATAAAATAGAGATGGAGTAAAGAAATATTCAACTTCAAATAGTATATATTTACTTTATTATTCAAAGGGTTTATCCTACTTAAAAATGTTAGAATGTGTTTACAAGTTAAAAAGTTGAATATAAATTAATTAAGACAATAGAAAGCTAATGAAACATTAGAGTTAGAGTTTGTTTTTCTAAACAAATAGAAATAGAGTTTTATATGTAAATTTAATTGTAGTGAAAAACAAGAATATGTTTACAAATTTTAACCTTCAGTCAAATGCATATACATATTTATAAATTTTAACCTTCAATCAAATACATATACATGTTTACCGTCTAATAGAAGTAAACATAATACTTATAACATGATAAAATTTTAGAAATAGAAAACTCAAGATAAAGCAGAGTGTTAATATCCTAATAAATTAAAATAAAAACAAATTATTCATATTTTTTTAGTGTTAGTGGTTTAGTTAACTCAAAACATAACAAAAACATGAAAGTTAACACAAAACCATCATATTTCAAATCCACGAGTATAAATAAAATTAAACAGAAAAACTATCGTAAACAACCCCGCGCTTGCGCGGGGCTTCAAACCTAGTTTATATAATTTTGAATGAAAATTAAAAATCATCAAATGAATAACAAAAAAATTTAGGAAAACTGTCAAAACTCATTTACCAATTACAAAAAAATTCTTGAAATTTAAAACATTCTTATAAATTCATCTCCCATTAAAATCCTAAAAATGATTACTACTAAATCACAAAAACTGATTACTGTATTGAGAAAAAAGGTTAAAGACTGTAATTAAAGTAAAATAATCAGAATAGTGGAAAGAGACTGTTGTATTTTTTCTTTTATTAAACAAATGAAATCACATATTCCTCTTACCGAAATAAACCGGGTAAAACTGGACCGGTTTGTTAATGGTCTGACTTTAACTGGTTCTTAGTATAACTCTCTAACCGTTCTTCTTCGAACTTCTGCAAACTTTTGCTCTCTCTCAATCTCTGAATCTCTCTGTTCTGCACCATCATGCTCTCTCGTTTATTCCTTAGACCTTCGAATCTCCGTGTCGTAACCCTAGAACCAGCCATGCCTTATATTCTCTGAAGCTCAGATTCTGATTCGAATCCTCCTCCAAAACCCTAGATCTTTCCACCAAATTGAAGATCCTATCAATTTCCCAATCCCATGGCTATTATTCCTCGCTCAGATCCACCTTCACGGATCCATCCCGAACCACAAACCCTATAATTTGACCACTTCGAATCCTCTTTGCGGTAAACACCTTCACTTTGGCCTCTCCAGGTCCTTAACAGATACGCAGCTATGCGACGGAAGGGGTGCACCGGCGGCGCCGCCGTTGGCCATTGGATACGCAGCATCTGATTCATTCACCACCAAGCGTCTACAATTAGGGTTGGTGAAGGAGGCGGAACCGCGGAAGGGTCGACGAAACGAGGGGAAGCGTTTGTAATTTTTTTTTAATAGAGTAGCCACGTAGTAGCTCGATAGAAAATGGGAAAAAGCTGATGTGTCAGAAATCTGTAGAGAGTTATCATTATAGACTAGGTTTGAAGTCCCGTGCAAGCGCGGAGTTGTTTGTGATATCTTTTCTGTTTAA